TATGTTAGTTAGTGTAAAATAAAGTAAATAGTTAATCATAGTTTTACGAAGATTTAAGCCTTTCCTTTGCTATTTTTCACGGAACTGATTAGTTTCTTCCCTAGTTTTTGACTCTATCATTTCGAGTGTTCAATTTTATGTTATTTGAAAATAGGTGTCTTGTTTGTTCAAAAAAAAAAAAAAAAATAGGTGTCCAGTGTAATTTGAAATCATTAACTGATTAAAGTTGTTCTTAAACTACTAGAGTTTACAATACTAGTAATTTTAATTTTATAATTTTATGAAAGTGAGTTCTTGTTTGTGAAAATTTATGAAGGTTTCCAAAAGAAAATGTTAAAATTACGAGATTTCTAAAATTTCCAAATCTTTCATAACATTTGGAATTGGAATGAATTTCTAGATTCTTGAAATGTAAAATGACAACTTGGCAGATACCTAATTTTTTTTTTCTAATTCAAAACAAATACCTAAATCATTACTTAGATAAGACGTACGTATGTTTCGTATTCTGGACTAGGAATTCGGTTTCGTATTGCCGAAAAAAAAGAAGAAAAAGCATTTGTTTCGTATTCTGGACTAGGAATTCGGTTTCGTTCTGCCGAAAAAAAAAAAAAAAAAAACATCGCCAGCAAATTACTGGACATATCTGTTGATGTATTAATTTATAACTTGGCTAATTTTCATACATATGATAGAGTGAACCGAACCATCTCTCGTGCTCAGAACCTAATTCTACATGTAGCAACAAAGCTCACTCTCACGATATAATCGGATCTGGACCGTACGTCAACTCTATCGGCTTCACACTGCAAAAGTGACATCGAAAACAAGAATAATTTTCAACTATACCATACGGTATTACGGATTATAAAAAAAAATTATATACATATATATATATATACATATATATATATATACATATATATATATATATATATATATATGTATAGTTCCTCGAGTTATGTAACGCACTTTTGCCTAACTTTAAGCATCCCTGTGCCGATTTGGACCGGTATGCCCATAATAATGCATTCACTAACGCCTTCAATCTTATCGACCCTCCCATTTACAGAAGCATTGAAAAGATGATCTGATGTCCTCTCAAACGAAGCAAGCATTAGTACACTGTCCTTCATTTTCTGCACACCGTACCTCGTTATTCCCAACACTTCACCCTGAAATATAAAATGAGCAAAACCATTTGACTTTGAAATTTGCATCAACTGAGAAAACGGAAATGATTTTATATATATATCAAATAAGTATTATCTTATCGCAACTATTTTCACACTTTTATCAATATTTCTTGTGTGATTTAGAAATAATTTCATAAACAAAGTTAGATTTCTGTACTATGTGTGTGTGTGTATGTGTGTATATATATATATATATATATACACACACACAAACAAACAAGCAAAACTGGAAGTAGAAGAATATGAAATAGACCTTAGATGTCATAAGATCTGCGAGAAGCATCATGTGACGTATGTCAATGGTCATCCCGTGGCTTGACATGGTGTACTGTATCTCATCAATAATTTTCTTTCTTGCAGCTTCGATTCCAAGTATATGCTGTACTTCAATGATGTGATTACTCGTCGTCTTTCGACCCTCAACTCCTTCAATGCCCATAACAGATAAAAGACCAGTCCTGCATTTCAAATATTATGCACAATTAACTCGATAAAATATCAAACCAACATTTAATGCAACTATTACTATAACGACAGTCTCTTCTAGGAAATTATACCGACTCTTATCTAAATGCACTTGGTATTCTTTTATTTTTTTAAAAGAGCTGCGTAGTGACTCGTCCCAAAAACAATGTAACCCATTTAGAAAAAGATGCTTATTTGGTTGAAACAAACCAGAAGGTCATAATAGAGGCAGGGAAAGCCAATAAATAGGCAAAATGGAGATTTTTCTTCCTAATATATATTATAATCATCAAACTAATAACACGAGAAGAGGCAACGATAGGTAAACTACTCTTTTGCTGTTAATACAAAGAACCATAATTCATCAACTGAAGGTCAAACAGAACATCCCTCATAATACCGTTATTACCCAATAACAAAAAATTGGACAAGGATTAAAGATGTCTGCAATGTACTTTACGATCCCGTTCGTCCCTTTCCAAAATGACGCGAAGTCCTCTTAAAAAGGCAACAACTTCGGAGATCTTATTTCTTTCACTCCGAATGATGCTTTGCTATATACTGATCTTACATTAGAGGATTAATAGTGTATATATTTTTTTCTTACCATGACAAGGCTAACAAATTCAATTTATCTGAAGTAGTGTAAGCTTTTTCTATTGCTTTTTCAATATCATATTCAATTCAGCACAAGTGTGGCCATATGCTGCACAATTTCATCTCACAAAATAGATGGGAAACAGTGTCCGTCATGTTGTGCATCAGTGCATGTATCACACTGTTCGTGTTACGAAAATAATGTATGTCAATAGGGGGAAAAAACTAATATCAATATAGTATGTGGAACTAGTGGGTGAAAACATGAAATGCTCGCTAGACTCAAAATATCCGAGATTATTTTGGTAAAAGAGAGAACAGAGGTAAATCTTTACAGACTCTTAACAAAAAGCATTAAGAGTCACAAGGCATTTTATTGAAACTTACCCCTCTACCAGTAACTTCATTTTTTTGTTTGCACTTGGATCTTTTTCCTTTGCTTCATTTAATATTATAGCACGTTCAACCGTGTCGATTCCCTGCCATCCAGAGAAGATGCCCATGGAAAAATGAAGATAAAAGAGAGAGATTTAAGTCTTAAAAAACTAATGGAAACACCAGACCAAAATCAAATGAAAAGGCATTTATATCACAAGTTTAACTTCCACATCAGTTTCACCTTCACAACAACTTTGGAGATCTTATTCTTAAGACCGTGGAGTTCAAATTGAAGTTTTGTTTTATCGGCCTGCATGACAATTTCCAGCTTTCTGTGATCCAAGACCTTGACTTGCTGCAGCAGAAGAGGCAGTAGTATCAACAATTAACGGACACACACACGGATATAGACACACACACACATGCACACAAACACGTAAAAAGAAGATGATAGGGATATCGAACCTGCTCCTTCAGTTTCATTCTTTTAGTTTTTAGAATTGATTCCTTCACAGTATAAGCGTCAACAGACAGATGTGCACCTTGAATTTTTGTCATGTCGAGTGTTATAACTATGGATGTCGATCTCGATGCTTGGGAAGTCTTTATACTCTTAGCTACCTACACAACAAAGAGATGGCCAACTCAAAAGATCAGCTCAATCCTATTATATTGATTTCAAAATTCCAGAGGCCAAAATAAACTTATCAAAAAATTAGAGGAAGAAAATCCTTAATAAATCCCACTTAATAAGCATTTGAAAGCTGATGGAGCAGACTGAATTTAGATACCATAACAACAAACTATTTTATCCCTGAAAAGAAAGCTCTAAAATAAGCCTCTACAAACTGTTTAATCTAGCAGAAAATTGTATAAAATCAGATTAAAAACAAGCATTAGAACTCAATGCACGATTTTCAATTGAATAATATGGGGCTTACCTGCTCGAGAAGTGTTTTTTCAATACGCCCCTTCACTATCTTAGCAATTATCTCGTTGTTGTCGGATTGCAGTGCGGTAGAAATAATTGGTGTATTGATTTTTTTAGCAGCATTGATTATTTCCTTTATACGCGGAACACCAAGGGTAACATCTATTCAAGATTAAGTTAAACATATCGGAAAGCTATTAAGTATTACGTAATATACAAAAGGTCAGAAAACCATGATAAAATCAGGGAATAATCATATAAAAAAGGATACTCATGCTTGCGACTCCAGCAAAATGGAAGGTTTTTAGTGTCATCTGTGTCCCAGGCTCTCCTATACTGTGGGCTCCAATTGCACCTATTGCGGTCCCACCTTCAATTTTCTTTAAACGGTAACGAGAGATGCAGGTTTCTAGGAAGACCTAGAACAATAATACATAAGTTCTGCTGTAAGTTTCAGATGATATCATATTTACAGCATTTTCTAGGCAAACTCTGTATATGTAACAAATCAGAACATATTAATGCAATTAGTTATACTCAAATCAAATGTGAGAACTCTATTGCAGGAAGAGTAAAAACATGGAAACGAAAATTACCATTAGCTGCTGCCTAGTAACCCCACATATATTTGAAGCAATTTTTTCCAAATAACCTTTATCTTCATCAGAATGTTCCTTTCCATTCAACTTCAGCATGAGATCTGAGTTTGGGTATTTCTTCTGAATAAATTTTCTTAATGAGTTATCAAAAGTTTCCATGCCACCCTCTTTATTTGATGAAGCAGAAAATGCCTGTGAGCTCTCCCCTTCAGGAGTCGCAGTCGATTCTGAGAGTCGATCCCCAATTATCTCGTCCATTGTTTTGTCGATTTCTTCAATACTTAGACTCTTTTGCTCTACTGCAGGGCAGGTGGCCTTTCAAGATAACAATGAAAAATTACTTTATCAACTGCTGCAATAATACAGTGAAT